AATAGTTTTCTTTTTCTAATTCTGTGAAGAATGTCAATGGTAATTTAATGGGCATAACATTGAATCTATAAATTGTTTTTTCATGATATCAATTCTTCCTATCCATGAGGATGGAATGTTTTTCCATTTCTCTGTGTCATCTCTGCTATCCTTGAGTAGTGGTTTGCAGTTCTCCTTGAAGAGGGACTTCACTTCCCTTGTTAGCTGTATTCCTAGGTATTTTATTCTTTTTGTGGCAATTGTGAGTAGGAGCTCCTTTATGATTGGCTCTCTGCTTGTCTATTGTTGGTGTATAGAAATTCTCATGATTTTTGCACTTTGATTATGTATCCTGAGACTTTGCTGAAGCTGCTTATCAGCTTGAGAAGCTTTTGAGCTGAGATGATGGGTTATCTAGATATAGGATCATGTCATCTGCTAACAAAGATAGTGTGACTTCCTCTCTTCCTATTTGAATACCCTTTAGTTCTTTCTCTTGCCTGATTGCCCTGGCCAGAACTTCCAATTCTATGCTGCATAGGAGTGGTGAGAGAGTCCATCTTTGTCTTGGGGAGTTTCGAGGGGAATGCTTCCAGCTTTTGCTCATTCAGTATGATATTGGCTTGGCTGTGGGTTTCTCATGCCCCAGGATGCAAGGTTCAACATATGCAAATCAATAAATGTGATTCATCCCATAAACAGAACTAAAGACAAAAGCCACGATTATCTCAATAAATGCAGAAAAGGCCTTCAATAAAATTCAACATCTCTTCATGTTAAAAACTCTCGATAAACTAGGTATTGAAGGAACCTACATTAAAATAGCATTTTGTGTCTTTCTTTTCCATTTAATCTATTCAAAGCCTCTTAGTTTTCACTTCCTCTTCGAGTGAAGTGCTTCTGACACCTCAACTCTGAGTTCAGTGAGAGACCTCTTATGTGACACAGCATCTACCGTCTCAAGTGAGCAGACCAGCCTCTGCTTGATATGGAATTGTACTGGCCTAAGAAGACTGCCTCCTAGGGAAGATTTTCACCTTGCACTTACATTTAGTTCAGTTAGAAAGTATATCTGGCCAGATATATGTGTTTGCTCAGGCCTGTTGCCCCAGCACTTTGGGAGGTGGAGGTGGGTAGATTGTTTGAGCCTAGGAGTTCAGGACCAGTCTGGGCAGCAGAGCCCCATCTCTATATGAAAGAATTAAAAAATTAAGCCTCCTACAATAACTAAGCAATCATGTCAGTAATTGTTTAAATGTTTTACACCCTTGAGCCTAGAGAACATCACAAGAATTCAAGAACGATCCATCCAGTTTGCTGCTTGGACTTGAAAGCAGGGTGAGATTTGGGGTGACTGAGATATAAGAAGCTTTTCTAGGCTTCATTCTAGCAATTTAAAACTAGATTCTTACTGGTGTTTTGTAGCATACAAGGAATCTTAGAGCCAAAAATATTATTCCAGTCACCAGTGCCTAAAAATGCTTTAGAGATTTCTATTTTTGCCCCTCACCCCCTCAAAACAAAACAAAACAAAAGACTATGTGCTTCACCTATGACTACCTAGAAAATGTGACTCTGCCTACTGTGGGCCTCTGTTGAACCATCTTGTAGCCCCCAAAGTTCTGTTACCAGGCAGCACTTGTGTCCTTCCAAGCACTTACTGCCCATGTGTAAGCCCTTGCCTTGTCTGTCCCTGCTTACAAGGGCTTCGCAGCAATCTTGAAGGCCCTCACAAGGTTTTTGTGCCTTTTGCTTATTGACATTCATGGGTACAGTCCCACCTCTATAGAAGCAGTCACCGGCCTGTGAACAAAGCCACCACAAGTTGTGTCACAAAACCATATGCCCTAAGACTGCAAGCATCTTGCCCAGGTTCAGTAGTTAAGTATAAAAGGCGGCTCAGAATAGTCCTCTGCAATCTGGAAAATGCCCTTCTCTCTTACTAAACAAATCCCAAGGCTGAGAATGACAGGATCTGTTGCCACCAAAAGCCTCTCCTTGTAAATATATAGTTCTCATACATATGATCTTTTGTTTAGTTCTTTAACATCTAAACCCATGCCACAATTATTTGTGTCTCTGAAAATTTGCTCTGGAACTTTAGACTCCCCCACTCCCTCCCCACTTAAATCTCCATACGAAGGAAGGCATATGCTTGTTCATAAATCCTTCTACCAGCAGAGTTGCATCCAGGGGGAAGAGCATGGAGCTAAGTTTAGCATGGAGCCGGGCGCGGTGGCTCATGCCTGTAATGCCAGCACTTTGGGAGGCCGAGTGGTCAGGAGATCGAGACCATCCTGGCCAACATGGTGAAACCCAGTCTCTACTAAGAATACAAAAATTAGCCGGGCATGGTGGCACGTGCCTGTAGTCCCAGCTACTTGGGAGGCAGAGGCACAAAAATCACTTGAACCTGGGATGCAGAGGTTGCAGTGAGCCGAGATCATGCCACTGCACTCCAGCCTGGGCAACAAAGTGAGACTCCTTCTCAAAAAATAATAGTAATAATAATAATAAGTTTAGCGTGACTCAATTATTCTTCCCAAATTTACCAATCACATAAGGCACATCACTTCTTCCAGGGTGGAGTGAGTTAAGGAGCAGAAGGAGGAATGGGAGTAGGAGTTGCATGCACGTGGAAGAAAACAAGTGTCCCCCCAACACAACCATTCATTAATTTATTCATGCAAATGAAAAGTTATTCTGTTCAATTAGATTTGCCATATTTAGCAAATAAAAATATGGGACTCCTAGTTACATTTGTATCTCAGATAAACAGTGACTACTTTTTAAATGTAATTATATCCTGGTATAGCTCTGTGTCCCCACCCAAATCTCATCTTGAACTGTACTCCTATAATTCCCGTGTGTTGTGGGAGGGACCCAGTGAGAGATAATTGAATCATGGGAACCGTTTTCTCCATACTATTCTTCTGGTAGTGAATAAGTCTCACGAGATCTGATGGTTTGATAAGGGGCAACCCATTTCACTTGGCTCTCATTCTCTCTCTTCGCCTGCTGCCATTCGTGTAACATGTGACTTGCTCCTCCTTGCCTTCTACCATGATTGTGAGGCCTCCCCAGCCATGTGGAGATATAAGTCCAATAAACCTCTCTATTTTGTAAATTGCCCAGTCTTGGTATGTCTTTATCAGCAGCGTGAAAACGAACTCATCCATATCCCAAGTATTGTATGGGACATAATTATAGTAAAAATTATTTATTTTTTATTTGAAATACAAATTTAAATGAGAACCTTGTATTTTACCTGGCAGTCCTCTACTGAGTGTAAGGCACTGTGCCAAGGTGCTAGAATAATGTGAATATGACGTAGTCCCTGTCTTCAGAGACAGAGGTAGAAAAATGTAACACTTTTGGCTACAGATGAACAACTAAATTCAAAATACTCTTTTCTGGGCATATCTTTCCAACCACAGGAAACAACAGTTCAGAGTCATCAACAACATCTTCACCTTTGAGCACGAAGTGAATTTGAGGTTTATTCATGTTTCGAATTAGTCTGAATTGACACACTGATTCTTGAAGCTATCCATATCCCACTGAACCTTCCTTTTGTTGATGACCATCCTGTCCTCAGAAAAATGAAAAATAAGCCCTAACCACTTCCTTCCCTAAAGATGCTTAGATCATTGAGAAATACCATCAAAGGGACAGGATGTTTCAATTCACTGTGATCAGCTCTGGGGTGAAGGAAATTGAAGTGTTATTGATGCACATGAGAGGAACACCCAGCCCAAATGTGGGAGGTCAGAGAATGCCTCTCAGTAGAAGTGGCAGTATACTCTACAATTATTAATGGACCCTGTACTATGGATTAATTGGGTACAATTTTAATAAATAATTTAGTTTAATTTAAATAAATTGATATAACCAATACATCTTCTCCAGAATATTGGAGAAATCTCTAACCAGGAGTGACTAAGAACACATTGAAACACATCCAATCCTCTTCTATTGTCATACTGTTCCTTACTGCTTGTTGGTCGTTCATTCAGCAAGTCCTTATTGACAAATTGGTATGTGACAAGTGATCTGTTAGGCATTGAAACAAAATAAAGAACAAACCAGGCTTGTTCCCAAACCTTGCAATACTATCTAATGAGAAAAACAGGTATTATACAATCACATAAATATAGAGAGAAAGATAAAATTTGGTGAATTCCATAGGAGAAAGAACATAATAATATTCGTTTAAAAAAGAGGACCCTCTTTCCATTACATGCCAAGGTTGGGCACCCTGAGGATGGGACATTTGATCTGAGATCATCTTCCATTTCTAATGTAAAGGTCTCTGAATGATGGCAACTTTATCCTGATAGGTAGATTCCTAAGAATGGCTTACCTCTAAGTCTAAAACATGCATTCCTAACAGAAGTGATATCACCCTCAAAGAGGCAAGAATTGACTCTTGGGAAGATAAAAAAAACCTAATTTTTTAATGTATCAAACACAGTTGTACATGCAGCACATAAATGCATAAATAGTATATTTGTGGCATTAAATGTTCACGGAAAAAGGGGGTGGCTAAAAACAAAAATGTCTAAAAAAGATCCTTAGGGGAGCAATAATGAAAAAATGGTTGAGAAACACTGGTTCAGAGTTTTTATTCAATAGTCCCTCAAACAGTATTTACTGAAGGCATGCTTTCAAGAAAGAACAGTTGGAGGTGCAGGGGATATAATGGGTAAGAAAAGGGATCCTTAAATGTTAGTGGGAAAGAAGACGCAAAAGCAAACAAGGAAATAGAGAAAATAATTGCAAATTATTATTAAAACTGTGAAAAAAACACAAAGGACTTGAAACAAAATAATGGGGTGGAACCTCTTTGATTGCGAAGTGAGGGAAGGCCTTTCTGAGAAGGGCTTTGGCTTTAAAAACGGTGGTACACTTGCTGATTTATCTCCTAATTTGCATATCTGGGTGAGATTACGAGCAGTCCCTAATCTGTAAATTTGTATTATTTTCCTGTTCAGAAGCCTCATGACAACTTATGTGAAAGTCAAAAAGGCATATGCTTGACACATCTTGACTGTGTGACTCACACCACGCTCATTAAGCTTGCTTACATTAGGAGCTGCACGCGGAAGCAAAGGCTGTGTGAAGACAAAGTAGTGAAGGGGTTTTCCATGTGAAAAATGAAGAAAGAATTATTTGAATATTAGCAAATCCACAACTTCACATTTCTAGAGAACCCAGGCACAGCCTTGGAGACATTACTCCTGAGAGACTGCATTTGTTGGAAGATGAGCCCCAACTTCTAAAAATATATCACTACCAGGATTGAGATACAAACAGCCTTTAGGAAGGTAGCCACATTCACATTTTCAGAGCCCAAAGCAAGATATGTTACTAAGCTCTTCTTCCCTTTTCTAATTCTTGCAGGTCTGATCTGAGTAGCGGCTTCCTGCCGTCCTTCCTGGAGACAAGTCCGGCTTTTGGTGAGAAAGACTTTCTCTGACCTCTGCCCGGCCGATGCCCATGCTTCTGTGGCTGCTGCTGCTGATCCTGAGTGAACAGATGGACTATAATGGGACCAGGGCCTCCGTTCCTAAAGGTGACCAGGGAAAAACTCCAGGGGCTTCTATCTCTGCTTCTACTTGGGGTTCAGAGACAGATAGCAAGGGATGAGAAGTGAGCAGAGCTGGGTTCCCAGGACAACCAAGAGGCTCCAAATGCAACCATCAGAGCAAGCCAGATATCCTGCCCTTGGTTTCTCATCCGCTGCTTTTCTCCCCTCACAGGAAACTTGGATTTTTCCTTTTGCCAAACCACAACTCTATATCCCACCCTTCCTCTTAAGCCTCAGACTAAATAATTGTTCAGATAAACAGTTACTTCTAAAAACTTAGGCATGTGAAGGAAGGTCTACTGAGAAACATCACTCTTTTCTAGAAGTTTTAAGCCAAAATTTAATCAGAGATTGAAAAAGTGAGAGGAACAATAGGAAGCCCAAGGAACGAAGGGAGCATAAACCATTTCTGCAAGTCTTTGTCTGACCCTGCACTCAGAGAAGACGGGGAGAGAATAAAGTGTGCCATGGCCAAGTAAATAATAGCAGAGATGAGGTCAGGCCTTGGACACAAGCCATCACGTTTGTAAAATAATTTATAGGCCATTTGTTTGTTGCTTAGGGGCTCTGGGTGATATAAAAAGGGAGCAAAGAAGTGATAAGGAAAAACAAAAGAAGCGGTTGTGGTTAGGTTGTTAAAAAATGTTTTAGAGAGTGTCTGATTGTCATTTTCTGCTCCCTCACAGCTCCTAGAAGAGAACAATCAGGTAAGTTTCTCCTTCTCTCTGCCCCTCTGGTCTCTGTATATGGGTGCCCTCAGCCCACACAGCCTGCCCCAACGCTTGCAGGGATGCATCCCATCAGCAGTGCTGATGCTCTGGGATCACATCTGCTACTATATTGGGTGAACAGAGCCTCCTCCGACTTTTTCAGTCTCCAGAATTTTTTTCCCCTACATTACCAGGATTCCTCAGAGTAGAGGAAGGAAACATTTGCAGAGCAAAGGGCAGAGGCAAGAGGCTGATGATGAAGGAATCTCATCTCTGATCTCCATATTCTCTAATACATCTCCTTCTGAATGTCCAAGCTAATGCTGCTATCAAAGGACATAGAAATAGCTCCCATTCATGGAGGAAGATGCTACAGCAGAATCCTTATAAATCTCCAAAAAGAGCTCATGCCACCGCCACACCTCACTTCCATGCCTGTCAGTCAGTTGCAATTCCATACACAAGTTTGACTTCTCAAGCAGCCCGTCCTCCTCCATTTAAATTCTTTATGTCCCTCCATTGTTTACTGTGCCCAGCTTACATGGAGAGTAAAGTTGCCTTCCCCACAGACTCTCAAACTAAGAAAGATATAAAAGTACTACAAGTGAGAAAATCTTATTCATTAAGTGTTAACAAGTAGGAAGTAATTTTCTGGAGTCTAGAAACTACTTCTGAGGTATATACATCCCAGGTTCACCTTTATCTGGACAGAAATGCATAGGACAAGAGAATTTCAGAATCAGCCACATTCTGAGGCCTTCACAGTGTTTGCCCAATGGCAAATCACATCTCCTGAGCTTTTCTGAGGCAATACCAGGAACCCGAGACCTCTCCCCTGTAATACCCATCTGCTCACCTCCAGAAAATGGGTGAGGAAGAACAGATTCTTTCTGGGGAAGAACAGGCATTTCCCCAGGTTATTTCTGCTCCATTTTCCACCCTGGTCCTGACTGGAAATTAGTCCAGGAAAACTCCTGACTGTAGGTTGGGCTCCCACTGTGCTGTGCCCACCTCCCATTGACCTTCCCCTGCCTTTATCTTTCTATTTCCTGTTTAGGGGTAGCTCCAAAAGCTGTACTTCTCCTTGATCCTCCATGGTCCACAGCCTTCAAAGGAGAAAAAGTGACTCTCACATGCAGGGGAATATCACATTCCCCCGCCCGCAGACACACGTTTTGGTATCGCGATGAGAAGTTTTGGAAAACAGAACATAACGCAATCCAGATTAGGGAGTCTGGAAATTACCAATGCAAGACCCGAGGATCCTCCCTCAGTGATGCAGTGCATGTGGAATTTTCACATGGTGAGGAATGGAAGGGGAGTGTCTAAAGTCAAGCCACCAGGCAGAATGTCTGAGGGCTGCGTTAATGCAGGGATCCCAGGCAGAGTTGTAAGCAGACATGGGGATATTTGATGCGCTGACTCCACTGGGGAAAATAAAGAGATAGGGCAGCAGCATGATGTTGGATTGTCTATCTATTCCCCTCCAAAGAAGTATGGGTGACCCAGGGGCCATCAGGCACAAAGAGGTTTAAGTCTGGGATTCCTCTTTTGTGTAAAGACATGTAAGGATTTCTGAAGAAAGTTTTCTGGGAATTGGTTCGCTCTCCTGGGGAAAGGAAGAATAAGGTATTGGAGCCACATGACAATGTGGGTGGGGCCATTTGCAGGTGTGTATAGAACTATGGCTCTTGCCTCATGGGTGGAAATGGGAGTGAAGGCAGAAGCAGCAGGGTATAAACTGAGTGTGCTCCTGTGCTCTTTGCAGACTCGCCGATCCTGCAGGCTTCACATCCTGTCTTTGAAGGAGATAATGTCACCCTGAGATGTCAGGGGAAAGAAGATGAAAACGCTTGTGAAAAGGTTTACTACAAAGATGGAAAACAGCTTCCTAATAGTTATAATTTAGACTTCATCATAGTGAATTCAGTCTCCAGGGACAATAGCAAATATCATTGTACTGCTACTTGTACGATATTTTCCATAGTACCAATTAAACGAACTTCAAAAAGCCTAAATATCCAAGTTCAAGGTAATGGCTAGATTCCTGTGGATTATTGGGTTTGGTTGGGAAACTGAGGATAAAGAGAAGGTGTTTATCAGTGGGAATTTCATAAAGAGGTTCCTATGGCTCAGCCATGGGAAGGAGATTGTTCTTTCTGCATGCTTCTCTATCTCCTGATGGCTGGTGCTGAGAACAGAAGTACATCTCTCTAGGAACTCTGAGCCTCACCACCCTGGGGACTATGTTTTTTTTTCTTTTCATTAGAGCTGTTTCTACATCCTGTGCTGAGAGTCAGCTCTTCCACGCCCATAGAGGGGAGTCCCATGACCCTGATCTGTGAGACCCAGCTCTCTCCACAGAGGCCAAAAGTCCAGCTGCAATTCTCCTTCTTCAGAGATAGTCAGACCCTCGGATCAGGCTGGAGCACGTCCCCCGAACTCCAGATCCCTGCCATGTGGACTGAAGACTCTGGGTCTTACTGGTGTGAGACAGAGACAGTGACTCACAACATCAAAAAAAGGAGCCTGACATCTCAGATACGTGTACAGAGTGAGTGTCCAAGGGGTTGCTCTTCCAGAGTCAGAGCTGGGGAGAGGAAGGCAGACCAGTGACAACTCCAGCACCCCTAGGATGGTAGACATAACAGAGAGGAGTGTCCAGCTATTCTGGTAATCTTCTCTCTTTAAGCTCAACGTTGGTTTAACAGCCCTAGAACATTTTCTTCCACCTGAGTCAGGTAATAGTAATTATTGATCAGTTACTGAGTGCCTAACCCTATGGGGTTACAGAGATGTACAAGATCAGTTCTTTCATGAATCAAGAGACAACTAGAAGCACAGCTGAACACATGCAGTTTTGAGAGGGCCCTGTGGTGCTTCCATTTGGTGACCTAAACTCACAACAAAATAGTCAGAAAAGGGGAAGATGAATATGAACGGTAATAGTCAGAGAAAGATATGGAGGCGTGGATGTAAATCTGGAGAAGTCTTGAAGAATAGGAGAAGAGTTTGGATTCTACTTTGATCTTCAAAATAGAGGATCTTCAGTGTTCTCTTTTACTTCGTGGTTTATTGATGCATCAAAGATTCCTTAGAGATAAACACATATAAAATGTGACCAGAAAACTTTGGGTTTACGGAGATTATGGACTTGTTGCCCACATTTCCCAAGGATGGGAATTGTTGTGGGAGTGAGAGGGATGTTGCTTCCTTCATAATAGTATACACAATTAATTTCTTATTTCCTACTTTGGGCTTCTGCCTGCTGCACCTGCTGCTATTGGCCTATTCATGGCAGGTCCAGCCTTCCCCTTGACCTTGATGTCCCCGCCATCAGGACCTTCACATGCCATCTTGTGTTCCCCCAGGAGTCCCTGTGTCTAATGTGAATCTAGAGATCCAGCCCACTGGAGGGCAGCTGATTGAAGGAGAAAATATGGTCCTTATTTGCTCAGTAGCCCAGGGTTCAGGGACTGTCACATTCTCCTGGCACAAAGAAGGAAGAGTAAGAAGCCTGGGTAGAAAGACCCAGCGTTCCCTGTTGGCAGAGCTGCATGTTCTCATGGTGAAGGAGAGTGACGCAGGGAGATACTACTGTGCAGCTGACAACGTTCACGGCCCCATCCTCAGCAGGTGGATTCAAGTCACTGTGAGAAGTAAGTTTCGATTCCTTTCACACAGCCTCTAGTTGCAGGCCAGGGTTTAGGTTCTCTGTCAGCCACTAGGATCTCCTAAAAGAGGCATTGGGAGGCAGGGAGGGAGCGAGGGAGGGAGGGAGGGAAGGAGGGAGGGAGGGAGGGAAAGGGGGGCAGAGAGAGAGAGAGAGAGAGAGAGAATGAGATTTAAAAGCTATCCAAGAAATGGAAAGATGGCAAAATAAGTTGAAGGACCTTACTTCTTGTAGGGAAGACTGAATGGTGATGAAAACAAAATTACCCAGGATTAACTCTCACTGTTTTGGGGAAATGCTTCTGATTGTTAGATGAGAAAAATGTGATCAGTGAGAAACAGAAACAATCAAGGGACAAGGGACATATCTATTGCTAGGCTCCTTGAGAGAGGTTGTGCATCTGTCACAAACATCAGAATTCTCTGACAGCCCTTTTGTCTCCCTCAGTTCCGGTGTCTCACCCCGTCCTCACCTTCAGGGCCCCCAGGGTCCAGGCTCTGGTGGGGGACCTGCTGGAGCTTCACTGTGAGTCCCTGAGAGGCTCTCCCCCGATCCTGTACCGATTTTATCATGAGGATGTCACCCTGGGGAACAGCTCAGCCACCTCTGGAGGAGGAGCCTCCTTCAACCTCTCTCTGACTGCAGAACATTCTGGAAACTACTCCTGTGATGCAGACAATGGCCTGGGGGCCCAGCACAGTCATGGAGTGAGTCTCAGGGTCACAGGTAAGCAAGACATACCCACAGCAGTTAACAGCCAATGCAAGAGATCATGTCTTCTCAGAAATAGCTCCATTGGGCTATTTGCTGGTTGATATCCCAATAGACTTCCCACTCTTTATGACTACGCCTGGGAGTACTGGGATTGTTCCTTGTGACTACACATTTAGTAACTTAGACCATTTCTTTTTTATTATTATTATTCCTCTATAATTGTCATCAATGACCATCCATATACCGCATTCTGGGTTTTTTTTTGTTTGTTTGTTTTTTGTTTTTTGTTTTTTTCTGGTGGAGGCACAAAGGCTTACCAGAATACCAAATATGTGATGGGTCAGCAATTACTGACAAAGGAAAATTCTGAATTCCCTTGCCCAGGAAAAATTGACTGGATCATTCCTTGCCATAGTTTTCTGCCCCTATCTCTATCTAAATTTCCACTTGGCTCCCTGGATCATTAAAGTGTCTGTCTTCATGTGGGTTCTCTGTCAGCCGCTAGGATCACAGCAGCAGACCTGTTTCATGGCCTCCGGATTCTAATGACCAATCTAACCTTCTCACTTTTTTCAAATGCCTTCTGATTGGGTCTCATTTAAACTGATGTTCTCAGTATCCCCTAACAAAATTTTCCTTCAGCAGAGGCACCAGGGCATCTCGTATTTTCCATGTCCAGCCCCGAAGAACCATTAGCAACGTGCCCAATCATTTCGAAGAGAACCTCCAGTCCAAGTCATGGTTATCCCAAAGTGCTCAGCATTTGGAGGATGGGAGAGGGCACTGGGACCTAGGAAAAGGTGGCAAAATAAGAGAGATACGGCAATAATTATCAGTGACCCAAACCCGTACATTCTCAGGATTTTGCCATGGACTCTTGTTCTCTAATGATTCCAAACTATTAGAACACTTATGACATTTTGGTTAATAATAATCCTTCCTATAGGCCAAACTTGGGTAATGATTTAAGGAAGTATTAAAATCTGGGAATGCCAGACAGTGTGCTGAAACAGAGACTCCAGTTTCGAACAAGAAAATATCATTTGTTTAACCTTGAATAAGTCTTCTTACTAGTCTTGTGCTTATTTTCCTCTCTTATAAACTAATTGACTCAGCAAATCATGGGGGCACAAGAATTCTGGATACCACACCACTCTCCATCAAAATTGTTTAACACACACCCCACAAATGTGTATATTAATAACATATTTGTGTATTAATTATATACATGTACTACTGTATTAACTTAATGGGCACATTGCAAAACAAACAGAGAAATAGAAATTAAATAAGGGGCATGGTACAGTGGCTCATGCCTGTAATCCTAGCACTTTGGGAGGCTGAGGTGGGCAGATTACTTGAGCTTAGGAGTTTGAGACCAGCCTGGGCAGCATGGAGAAACCCCTGTCTCTACAAAAAAAAAACCACAAAATTCAGTTGGGCTTGGTGGCATGCGCCTGTACTCTCAGATACTTGGGAGGCTGAGGTGGGAGGATGGCTTGAACCCAAGAGGTTGAGACTGCAGTGAGCCAAGATTGTCCCACTGCACTTCAACCTGGACGACAGAGTGAGACCATGTCAAAAAAGAAAGAAAAGAAAAGAAAAGAAAAGAAAAGAAAAGAAAGAAAGAAAGAAAGAAAGAAAGAAAGAAAGAAAGAAAGAAAGAAAGAAAGAAAGAAAAAGAAAAAGAAAGAGAAAGAAAAAGAAAGAAAGAAGGAGAAAGGAAGGAAGGAAGGAAGGAAGGAAGGAAGGAAGGAAGGAAGGAAGGAAGGAAGGAAGGAAGGAAGGAAATATTTTTAAATCTTTGATTTAGAATACTTGACTAAAATTATTATAATTGAATATGCTTCATTTACTTTGAAAATCTTAGTTTACTTATGGTAGTACAATTATTTGAGGTTTGGTTCTGAGTTTGGCCTTATTCCTATTAGTTTTAGTGTCTGTTACTGCTTAAAGCTTTATCTTACCAATATATCTAGATCCAAGTGGAAGCAGATCATCACTGCTGCTCTTTTAATTCCATTATACTCATTTTTCAATCCCATAGTCTAATTATGCAAGGCTTTTCATTGAAATTTGGTTAATTAGTTTATATTTTTGTTGATGTTTACTAGTTGTTCTTGTAAAGTAAGTGGGAAGTGCTGCATGTTGGATTTCCTTTTTTTTTTTTTTGAGATGGAGTCTTACTCTGTTGCCCTGGCTGGAGTGCAGTTGCACTATCTCAGCTCACTGCAACCTCCACCTCTCAGGTTCAAGCAATTCTCCTGCCTCAGCCTCTCTAGTAGCTGAGGCAGGCCACCACACTCTGCAATTTTTTTGTATTTTTAGTAGAGACGGGTTTTCATCATGTTGCCCAGGCTGGTCTCGAACTTCTGAGCTCAGGGAATCTACCCGCCTCAACCTCCCAAAGTGCTAGAATTATAGGCATGAGCCACCACGCCCAGCCACTGCATGTTGAATTTCTATCGAATGTGTTTAAACTTTGGAAGAGCTATAAGCTGGTTGCCATGTTCTGTTTCCATGGATTTTTAAAGGTGCAGATATAAATTTTTAAAGTTGACTGACTTACATTTTTCTGGTAATAAGACCACATAGAAATCTAAATATTTTTAAACAACTATATTCCAAAATATTATCTCTGTAGCATGAGTTTAGAAAAGCATTAACAATATGAGGACTGTTAAAGGTCAGTTTTTAAAGTGTTTGCTAAGTATTAACATTGTCAGTAGCCACTGATCACCAAAAAGACAACAAAAATTAAATACTGATCTTTCTTTGCGGAAAAATGCATAACTTATCTTTACATTTAATTCCTCTTTTTAGAACTTTGTCACAAGATAAATGAACTTTCACGTGATACAAAAAGGTTTGAGGTTACTTCCAAATCTCATCACAAAGCATTGTAAAGTTTTTATGATTTGGCTAGGCACAGTGGCTCATGCTTGCAATTCCAGCACTTTGGGAGGGCAAGGAAGGATTGCTTGAGCCCAAGAGTTTAGACAAGCCTGGGCAACATGGCGAAACCCTGTCTTTACTAAAAATACAAAAAAAATAGCAAGGCTTGGTGGCAAAATCCTGTAATCCCAGCTACTCTGGAGGCTGAAGCAGCAGGATCCCTTGAACCCAGAAGGTCAAGGCTTCAGTGAGTTATGATCGCACTACTGCACTGCAGGCTGGGCAACAGAGTGAGACCCTGTCTAAAAAAAAAAAAAAAAAAAGAAAAGAAAGAGAGAAATTAAATTAAAACATATATTTTATGATTTAAATTGAAATCATCTGTAAAAACACTTAAGTAGCCAATTAAAAGGGCATTATGTTCCATATGTTGAGAGTTAACCAACAAACCAAGGCACTGCTCTCCCACTCTCTGTGCCTGGGTGGCCCTGCCATCATAAGAAACCCTGTCATATCCCAATATAGAATGTGACATCTACCTGAGCAGGAGCACCACCATGAATATTAGTAAAGCTGAATATCATTTTAAATTTCAAGCTCAAAAAGAAATACTCTTAAACATTGTCATATTTTCTTCTTACACTTCAATCAGGTGTCTTACAGCCCATGTTGGAGACCACTTAAGTTGACAATAACCATGGTCTTTTTCAGTCTTCAAATTCTTTGATTTTAGAGGACTATGCATTCAGAACCAGAGGTCCCATGAGCCCTAGAGGAGGGGATGCAAGAGGTTGGAAATCTCTCTTCCCAGAATACGAACACCAAGAGACATGGATGAAACGCACAGTGAGATCACAAAGCACCATATAAAAGACTCACCCCCGAGGCCCTCTGCATCCCGCCCAGGGCACTTCATATTGCAGAGGCTATATGAACGGGACAAATTCAAACCATCGGTTTCAATTTAGCAAGAACTCTACACTTCCAATATCGGGACTTGGCACCTCTATCCTGATGAGGCAGCTGGTGCCATCTTTCTTGCAGCCAGCAGATGGCTCGTTTTCAAGTTTAATCATTGCCATTCAGTGAATAGTTTCCACATTCACACTCATTCCCTTTAGCCAATCTCCAATGGAAAGCAGAACTTAAGATCCTTACCAAGCTACCCTTGCCAATAAAGCACACAGCTTATATCTAAAGCACTACACACAGATTGGTTCATCCAGTTTTCCTCACAACTTTGCAGAACCAGCAATCTTACAGTTTACATTCCATATTAAGGGCTTTCTATTCTTCCCACTATGCCATTTCTTTAATTGTTCATTAAAATGGAAATCATTGTTGCTAGAGCTATATCTGGATATTTTTGTGATAGTTTGGTTCAATTCAGTTTTCCATTCAATCACCAATTATTGAGCATAAATTTTACATGCCAGGCAAAGTTCCAACAACCATAAATACAGCAACGAACAAACAGATAATTCTCCATCCTATTGGGGAATCATATAAAATGATGATAGATGATGATGATGATAGATAGATAGATACATAGATACATAGATACATAGATAGACAGATGTTAGGTAGTGCTAAATGCTATCTAGAAAAATAAAGCAAGGTGATTAGGTAGAGAGTAACGGGTCTTGCTTTAGATAGGTATGGAAGTCTCAGTCTTAGAGCTAAGATTCAGGTGTAGGAATGTTTAGAAACCTTGATTTTAGTTATATTTTTATCAATAATAATAACCAATTTTTATAGTACTTTACATACAATGTGATTTTTATTACAATAGCTTGAGATATAATGTATCATTAGCTCAGTTTTACAGAGGAATAAACTAAGACTTAGAGAAATTAAAAAGTTCTTAAACAGTCAAGCTTATAGAGCTAATAAAGGATAGAGACAGGATTGAAGCCCAGGTTCTCCAGAATCCAGGTGCATGTTCCTGCAACTCAACTATGCTGGTATTCCTTTATTAAGTTCTCTTGTATACCTACTTAAGCAAAACTGCCAGTGAACTATTTTTCCTCCCTCAGTTCCGGTGTCTCGTCCCATCCTCACCCTCAGGGCTCCTGGGGCCCAGGCTGTGGTGGGGGACCTGCTGGAGCTTCACTGTGAGTCCCTGAGAGGCTCCTTCCCGATCCTGTACTGGTTTTATCACAAGGATGACACCTTGGGGAAGAGCTCGGCCCACTCTGGAGGAGGGGCATCCTTCAACCTCTCTCTGACTACAGAACATTCTGGCAACTACTCATGTGAGGCTGACAATGGCCTGGGGGCCCAGCGCAGTGAAGTGGTGACATTCAATGTTACAGGTGAGTTAGTAGTACCTGGGCTAGAGGTCACCATTATGGTAAATAAAATAGTTATCTGACAGATTGTACAAATTCTACTAGCAGCAAGGAGGTTTTGAACATGCACCCCAAGGCTTGGGACTTCTGGAGATTGGTATTGATTTTATATGGGAGAGGGAAAGGAAATACATTTTAATCTTAGATGCTGTCAAATACCTTTCATGTGCTATAGTTTTGAAAATTACAAATGACGCTACAGGAGGAATCAGAAACTGGAACATACTCACTCTACTTGCATGATTTTGTCTATATCCAAAACCTGTGCCACTGGAACTCAAGTACAGCTCCCTCTACTCAGGAACTTCCAGGAACAGAACAGGCCTTACCACTGCGGGAGTCACGGGGCTGGTGCTCAGCATCCTCAGCCTTGCTGCTGCTGCTGCTGCTCTGCTGCACTACGCCAGGGCCCAGAGGAAACCAGGTGGGTGTCTAGGTCCTACCCTGTGATGTGATTTTGCTGTTGCTATAATAATTTGAAGTTGTATGGTGCACCCTATAAAGGTCAATTATTCCCTTCCAAGTACTAGGGCCCTCGGTTCCACTACTCACTGTCACTCTGTAGGCAACTGTAGCAAAAACAATAGAATAAACTTCTCAATAAAATTTTTACCTCATGTTTAATTTGAGATTTATATTAGGTAGCAGAGTTTTGCTTCCAATTAAAAATTAGAAAATTAATTAACTCATGTTCTCTCTCCCTAAGAAAGTCCTTCATTCATAACAAAAAATAAATAAATGATCATAGAGGTGACCATAAACTCCAAGGTATATTTGAATACCAACTAAATATAGTGAAATTGGATAAAATACATAAAGAATGCCAAAAATTAGATTAAAAATTCAGTTTCCGATTGTTGTTAGTATATAGAAACACAGCTAATTTTAATATTAATTTTATATCCTGAAATTTTGCTAGACTCACTTATTAGTTTAGTATCTCTTTTGTAGATTTCATCAGATATACTATATAGATGATCATGTTGTCTGCAAAAATGATAGTTTAACTCTTTCCTTTCCAATCTTAATTTCTTTTACTTCTTGTTCTTGCTTAATTGCACTGATTAGAACCTCCTGTACAATGTTGAGTGCAAGTGGTGAGAGAAAATATCCTTATCACATTCCAGATCTTAGGGGGAAAGTATTCGATCTCTCACCATTACAGATTACTTTAGCCATGGGTTTTTTCCAATGCTGTTTATCTGGTGGAGGAAGTCCCTCCTATTCCTAATTTGCTGAGAGATTTTACACACATAAATTTTTGTAAAATGATTTTTCTACATTTATTGAGATAATAATGTGATTTTTTTTTTTAGTCTATTGATAAGGTGAATTTTGAAGTTGAAACAGCCTTATATTTCTGGGGTCAACCCAACTGGATCATGATTGTTGATATGATTTGCTAAAATTTTGCAAAGGACATTTACATCCATGTTTATGAGGAATATTGGTTGTTAGCTTTCATTTCTAGAAATGCCTTTTTATGATTTGGTATCAAAAGAATACTCAGTTACCACTTCCAGGATTTTTCATTCATTTTTATATAGCCATATTTTCACCTGGTATCAATTTTGTTCTGCCTGAAGGGCTTTTTTTTTTCTTTTTAACATTTTTTACAGTATGAATGTCTGCCAGTGAATTTGATTGATAATGTTTCTGAATTCCTCTATATCCTTACTGATTTCTTTGTCTATCTGATCTATCAATTATTGAGATAGGGAAATTAAAATCTTTAACTGTAATTATGAATTTATCCATTTCTTCTGCAATTCTATCAAGTTTTGCTTCCAGAATTTGGAATTGCTCATTATTAGGTGGATAAGTGTTGAGAATTTTCATGTTTTTGATGAATTATCCACTTTATCCTTATGAAATGATCCTCTGTATCCCTGGTCGAATCACTTACTGTGAAACAGTCTTTGTCTAATATTAATGTATTAATACAATTAGTGTTAGCATGCGATTTTTTCCCATCCTTTTGCTTTTAGCCTATTTGTACCCCCATATTTAAAGTTAATTTTTAATAGATACCATGCAGCTAATTCTTGCGGGGTTTTTTTAGTTTAATATTATAGTCTGCCTTTAAAATGAGGTGTTTAGACAATTTACACTAGTATAATTGATATGATTAGGTTTCATGTCTATTTTGCTATTTGCTATTTTTTTGCTTTACTTTGACTTATTTTTGGAATAATTGAGTGATGTTTTAATTCTACTTTATTTCCTTTGTTAACATAATAGCAATAACTTTTTAAAATTTTTCAACTTTTATTTTAGATGTAAGGGGTAAATGTGTGGATTTGTTACATGCTTATATTGCAAGATATTGAGATTTGGGGTACAGATCCTGCCTCCCAGATAGTAAGCATAGTACCCAATAGGTAGTTTTTCAACTCAGGCATTCCTCCCCATCTCCCCCATCTAGTAGTCCACAGTGTCTGTTGTTCCCATGTTTATGTCCATGTTTACTCAATGTTTAGTCCCACTTATAAGTGAGAACATGTGGTATTTGGTTTTCTGTTCTTGTGTTAGTTGGTTTATGATTATGACCTCCAGTTAAATCCATGTTGCTGCAAAAGACATGATTTCATTTTTCATGGCTGTGTAGTATTCCATGGTGTATATGTACCACATTTTCATCATCCAGTCTACCACTGGTGGGCACCTAGGTTGATACCATATCTTTGCTATTGTGAGTAGTATGGCAATGAACATATGAGTGCATGTGTCTTTTTTCTTTTTTTCTTTTTTTTTTTTTTTTGAGTTGAAGTCTTGCTCTGTAGCCCAGGCTGGAGTGCAGTGGCGAGATCCCGGCTCACTGCAAGCTCCGCCTCCCGGGTTCCTGCAATTCTCCTGCCTCAGCCTCCCGCCTAGCTGGGACTACAGGCGCCCACCACCAGGCCTGGTTAATTTTTTGCATTATTAGTAGAGACTAAAATTAGCCAGGATGGTCTCGATCTCCTGACCTCATGATCTGCCCACCTCGGCCTCCCAAAGTGCTGGGATTACAGGCGTGAGCTACCCCACCCAGTCGCATGTGTCTTTTTGACAGAATGATTTATTTTATTGTGGGTGCATACCAATAATGGAATTACTAGGTTGAATGGTAGCTCTATTGTAAGTTCTTTGAGAAATCTCCAAACTTGTTTCCACAGTGGCTAAACTAACTTAAATTCCCAACAGTGTGTAAGCATTCCCTTTTCTCCTCAGTCTCACCAGCACCTATTGTTTTCTGCCTTTTAAATACTAGCCATTCTGACTGGTGTGAGATGGTATCTGATGGTGGTTTTGATTTCCATTTCTCTGGAGATTAGCGATGTTGAGCATTTTTTCATGTTTGTTGACCGCTAGTTTGACTTCTTTTGAGAAGTGTCTGTTCATGTCCTTCACTTATGTTTTAATGGGGTTATCTGGTTTTTGCTTGTTGATTTGTTTAAGATCCTTACAGGTCTCAACATTAGACTTCTGTCAGATACATAGTTTCCTAATATTTTCCCCATTCTATAGGTTGTCTGTTTACTCTGTTGATAATTTCTTTTGCTGTGCAGAAGCTCTTTAGTTTAGTTAAGTCACACTTGTCAATTTTTGTGTTAGTTGTAATTGCTTTGGGAACTTAACCAAAAATTCTTTGCCAAAGCTGATGTCAAGAAGCATATATCCTAGGTTTTCCTCCAGGAATTTTGTAGTTTGGAGTCCTACATTTAAATCTTTGATCCATCCTGAATTAAGTTTTGTATATGGTGAAAAGTAGGGGTCTAGTTTCAATCTTCTGCATATGGCTAGCCCGTTATCCCAGCACCATTTGTTGAATAGAGAGTCATTTCCCCATTGCTTCTTTTTGTTAGCCTTGGCAAAGATCAGATGGTTGTAGGTGTGAATCTTTATTTCTGAGTTTTCTATTCCTTTCCGTTGGTCTATGTGCCTGTTTTGGTATCAGTACTATACTATTTTGATTACTGTAGGCTTCTGGTGTAGTTTGAAGTTGTGGGGTGTGATGCCTCCAGCTTTGTTGTTTTTGTTTAGGAATGCTTTCGCTATTTGGGCTATTTTTTGGTTCCATATGAATTTTAAAATAGATTTTTCTAATTCTGTGAAGAATGATATTGGTAATTTGATAGGAATAACATTGAATCTGTAAATTTCTTTGGGCAGTATGGCCATTTATGGCCATTTTAACAATATTAATTCTTCCAATCTATGAATATGCAATGTTTTTCCATTTATTTGTGTTATCTTTGATTTATTTCAGCATTTTTTTTTTTTTGTAGTTCTCATAGAAACTTTTCACCTCCTTTATTAGCTGTATTCCTAGGTATTTCATTTTCTTTGTGGCTATTCAAAATGGAATTGTCCATTGATTTAACTCTTGGCCTGACTTTGTTGGTGTATAGAAATGCTACTGGGTTTTGTACCTTAATTTTGTGTCCTGAAACTTTACTCTTGGCAGAGTCTTGAGGGTTTTCAAGGTAGAGAGTCATGCAGTCAGTGAAAAAAGATGGTTTGACTTATTTACCTATTTGGGTGCCTTTTATTTCTTTCTCTTGCCTGATTGATCTGGCTAGGACTTTCAGTACTGTCTTGAATGAGTGTGGTGATAGTGGACATGCATAGTTGTTTCCCTTTTTCATTAATTAAAATTTTTTTATTTCTGCATTAATTTTGATCTTCATCCAGGAGTTACTCAGGAGTAAGTTGTCTAATTTCCATGTGTTTGTGTAGTTTTGAGAGATCTTCTTGATATTTATTTTTGTTTTTATTGCACTGTAGTCTAGGAGTGTACTCGGTATGATTTTTTAAAAATGTATTGATATCTGCTTTATGGCCGAGCCTGTCGCTGAACCTAGGATATGTTCCATATGCAGGTGAGAAGAATGTATATTCCACGGTTGCTGGATAGAATATTCTGTAGATTTGTGTTAGGTCTATTTGGTCAAGTGTCAAGTTTAAGTCCAGAGTTTCTTTGTCAGTTTTCTGCCTCGATGATCTGTCTAACTCTGTCAGTGGGATATTGAAATCTCCCACTATTATTGTGTGACTGTTCAGGATTTTTGTAGATCAGGAAGAACTTGTTTAATGAATCTGGGTGCTGCGATGTTGGGTGCATACATATTTAGAATAGTTAAGTTTTCTTGTTGGAAGTGAAGATTATTTGTTTTGTTACTCTGGTGATTGCTTTAGAGTTTATAGTATATATGTTCAACTTATTGCTATTTTCAAGTGATATTATATAACTTATAGAAGGCTAGTCATACCTCCTACTTCCAAAATTACTTTTCTTTTTTTTCTCTCATTGTTTATCTGGGATGCCATTTTCTAATCTGTAACATACTAAAAGAAGACAATTGAATCTCAGTGTTGAGGTTGTCAGTCAGCACAGCACCAGGAGAGAAAATTGACAATCATTTCACATGATACATGTGAATAGGAGCCCAGGTGGTCTGTCCCCCAGACTTAAGGGGAGTGTTATTTTAAATAACAAACTCACTAAGGAATTAGGATAGTTCACCAAACAGAGGGTCTGTGCTCTTCTTTTCTCAAAATCTTGCGTACTGTACCTCCTCATAGCAAAGTATCCCTTCTCATCATTGGCAAGACTTCTCAGGAAGAAGCTCAGACCTTCTAAATTTTTCTAAAAGTGAAGGACTCTGCTTTTTGCCTGAGTGAATCACTCCTAAAAAGAATGATAGGTTTATTGACTCTATGGTAAATCTGGCTATGTTGAAATTCCAGTAATAAAACTTGCCAACTTGATATTAGGCAAACAAATTAAACTCATTAAACTTCAGTTTCTTCATCTATGAAGTGGTTATAATAATAACAGTATCTACCTTTTAGGTACTATGACACAACCTAGGTAAACTGCTTAACACAGTGCTGGCCCATATGTATTTAATGAATATTAGCTTGTATAATAAATAGCCACCTGTCTAGGTCTCAGTTTTCTCTTTTACAAATAAGGAGATAGACTGACTCCCAGATGCATTCTGGGTCTGAGCTAACCACCCACAGGAAAGATACTGGTTATTAACTTATGTGAACTGTGATTGCTCTGAGGAGATTCAGGACCAGATCCTGATCATACCCCTTTAGCTTAACTCAGGAGGCCCACTCCCTGAGGAACAGGGAGTTACTCAGTTATTTTTCATGAGAGTCAAGGCTGCTATGTTTATTTTGAGCAATGACTTGTGTTCTCTAAGCCAATGAGACTGATATAGAGCCATAGATTTTAAAAAGGCAAAGGACAAGGATGGGAACCGGGGATAAGGCTTGTATTGGGGCAAGCCTGAAAGATTCAATATTTCAGTGATGATAGAAACCTGCCATATTTTTAAGTCTGCTAGGTTTGGCTTCAGGGATAGACTTCTAACTTCTAAAATTGTCAGTTTGTTATTTTTAAGTCCTCAATATACATACTTTGTTCAGTTGTTTAACAAATCTTTGTTGAATATTTTTAACTGCTGGCCATGACATCAGAAATACAAAAAAAATTTAAGATGAGGTTTACAGTCTCAAGTAGCACATCCTTTCAAGAAAGAGAGAATGAGAGGGAAACAGAAATAAATAATTACAAAACAGTGTAGTAATTTTAATATTACATGGTCTTATGTGCATGGAGACAGTTTACTTAATCCAGCCTGTTGGCATGCTCTGGAAAAAAGATAAATTGGAGTTAGCTAAGTGAAAGAGAAGGAGAGAAGAGGTGTGGAAGAGCCATTACATACCCAAACGATTTGCAGTTTAGTGTTGCTGGAATAGACTTGCAGGGGTGAGGGGTCACAGTTAGAGAAAAAGAAGGTAGAGTTTATCATGGTAGTCCCATTGATTCATATTAGTGAAGGAATTCTGTATCAATTTTGAGCATCCCTTGGCCCCTCTAGGCCTCAGTCTCCTTGTTTCCACCTTGTAGGGCTGCAGTCAGAATGAAGAAGTGGGTTTGGGGGGAGCACCTGACCCAGGTTGTGACCTATTCAGTCACAACTACTTAGAGTTGCTATTCACCTGTTACTGATTGAAAAATGATTCAGAATAAGTGTGATTCTAGGCAAATGCCTTTCAAGACCCCATGTTCCTCACCTATAACATAACATAGTTGGAGGAAGGAGGGTAGAACTGGATAATCCTTGAGATTTGCCATAGCTTAGATCTAGAATGAATCTGATTTCTAGGAAAAAACGTTCTAACAGAGAGTTCATGATCTACACAGCTCACTTACCACTCAACCTTCCTTTGTTTGTTTTGCAGGAGGACTTTCTGCCACTGGAACACCTAGGTGAGGTCTCTGCTTCTTGTGCTGCCAACATTTTCATGATTTATTTATATGCACAAGACTTATGTTTTTTAAAAATATGAATGGATTTCCTAGTAGCATTTTTACATTCTTACAAAATAAAAAAGTAGATATAAGTGAATGTCACTTTCATTTATATTTGTGAACGGTATTCACTGTGTCTACTTAAACACAGAGTACATGTTATTGGCTATCTATGTTAATTTATCTACTTCCTTAAATGTGTTCCAGCAGAGACTTGACCACTAATGTCTTAATGGCATTACCTTTCACAGGGCTGCAGGGCATTCATTCCCTTCTTCCTCATTCCTCCACTCATTTGGGAAATTATTACTGAATGCTGGCAATGTTCAATTCGCAATATTAGCTGCAGAAGGAAATGAAATTGGAAAAAATCCACTTTACTTGAAGAGTTCGCATGGCATCTTGCAGGAAAGATAGATTATTGTAATATGAGGTGGAAAATTGAAAGGGACCTTTTACAAAAGACAAGGTTTAAGTTCTGTAAGAATGCAGAGGTCTTTGCATATCAGTGTTTAATCATTTACATCTTCAAAAATAACATTTAAAATTAGTCAAATATGAGTTTTTGCCTTTCAAAAAAGCGCTGAGGCTGCCTTGCCCTCTGGCCTTGCCTTGGCTGTCCTGTTTTGTAATGCTTCCCTGGGCTTCATCTTGTGCCATACGTCTTCTGACACTTTATCAAAAGAGCCAAACAGAAGCAGACACAATATTTTTACTTAAATCATGCTGTACTGGAAGACTTCCTGGATACCGAGTTCCCTGAAATTCTGTGTAACCCACAGATACTTTTTTATCCATTTTCTCTCCCCCTCTGTCACAGTCACAGTCCTAGTGAGTGCCAGGAGCCTTCCTCGTCCAGGCCTTCCAGAATAGACCTTCAAGAGCCCACTCACTCTAAACCATTAGCCCCAGTGGAGCTGGAGCCAATGTACAGCAACGGTGAGGACTCCCTAGGGGGCAGAAGGCTCTAGGGAGGAGCCAGGGAGGGAAGAGAGATTGAATAACAGCCCATGGCCCTGTCACAAATTTTAAAATGGCATTTCTAACATTAGACTGGAAATAGAAGGTGGTTATGAATTTGATGATTGGGAAGTAGAGTCTAGAATATGAGCTCTTGACTGCAACCAACTATGATACCTTCTCTCACAGTAAATCCTGGAGATAGCAACCTGATTTATTCCCACATCTGGAGCATCCAACACACAAAAGAAAATTCAGGTGAGATGCCTTTCAGGCAAATAGAGGTGAGGTGGCAGTGTTTTATTGAAACCGGTAAGGGGTCTTTGATCAGAGTTATTTCAAATACAACTCCAACATGCAAGGCATTACTTGTCTCCCATATTGTCAGTTGCAGAATCTATCCATTTCTTCTTTCTTTTACACACTGCCACCGTGATCCCATAAATTCTTTGAGGACAGTCACTGTGACTTTTTCATTAATGTATTCACAGCATTTAGCCCAGCGCTTGGAAACTGCAGGCCCCCTAAAATACTGTTTGAGTTAATGAGTGAATAATCAAATGTGTAGACAATTGTCATTCTTTTAACTGGTCTCTTTATTTCTACTACTGTTCTCCTCCAGCCTTCCCACAAACTACTTCCAGCATGATCCCTTTGAGGTGCTCTATTGTTCACATCAGTGCCTAGATTAACTGCCCTCACTGACACCCATTCCAAAGCATGATCTTTGCCTTCCTCACGCTGGCTCCTCTTGCAAGCTTTGCCTAATGTTCTTCCTCTAGCCATATTGAACTCTTGGCATCTTTATGCTTGGTGCTCATGTTTCTTACTGGTCCCGAAATGTCCTTGCCTCTAATCTACTTGGTGATCCCTACTCATATTTCAAGACATAGCTCAGGTAACACAGTGAAACTCACACTGATGCCAACTACCCTTTCTATATGCTAATCTGGGAGGAGCCATTTATTCTTTATGGCAACAACATAGTTCAATATGTATTTCTCTCTTGGTTCCCATAATGCTTGTTGCATTTATTTCTATGTCCATTTCTCCCCTTCAAAATTATAGTATTCTTGATCACATGAACTGAGTTTCTGTCATTTATTTATTTATTTATTTATTTATTTATTTTTGAGATAGGATCTCACTCTGTCACCCAGGCTGGAGTGCAGCAGTGCGATCTTGGCTCATTTCAACCTCTGCCTCCTGGGTTCAAGGGATTCTCCTGCCTTAGCCTCCTTAGTAACTGAGATTACAGGCGTGCATCACCATGCCCAGCTAAATTTTGTATTTTTAGTAGAGACAGGGTTTCTCTATGTTGTTCAGGAGTTTCTGCATTTCTATCTCCTTATACCTTACCTAATGCCTAATAGAAGGCCATTGCTTAATGAATGCTTATTGACTGCACAAATAAATAAAAGAGATACAAAGAACCCCTTGGAAAGGTAGAAAACACACACACACTAAATTTTCTCAATGTTCCAATGCAACTCTTTGGCTTCCTGGGAAATTGCCATGTGGCCTTAGAATGCCAATCTCCTCTCTGGCCTCTTCCAATTTCCCTGTGCAAAGTGAAGTGACTCGAGGGGGCAGAGCAAGATGGCCGAATAGGAACAGCTCCAGTCTCCAACTCCCAGCGCGAGTGACACAGAAGACCGGTGATTTCTGCATTTTCAACTGAGGCTCTGCTGCTGATACCCAGGCAAACAGGGTCTGGAGTGGACCTCAAGCAATCTCCAACAGACCTACAGCTGAGGTCCTATTTGTTAGAAGGAAAACTATGCTGAGGGTCCTGACTGTTAGAAGGAAAACTATCAAACAGGAAGGACACCTACACCAAAACCCCATCAGTACGTCACCATCATCATCAAAGACCAGAGACATATAAAACCACAAAGATGGGGAAAAAGCAGGGCAGAAAAGCTGTAAATTCAAAAAATAAGAGCGCACCTCCCCCGGCAAAGGAGCGCAGCTCATCGCCAGCAACAGATCAAAGCTTGATGGAGAATGACTTTGACGAGATGAGAGAAGAAGGCTTCAGTCCATCAAACTTCTCAGAGCTAAAGGAGGAATCATGTACCCAGCACAAAAAAACTAAAAATCTTGAAAAAAAAGTGGAAGAATTGATGGCTAGAGTAATTAATGCAGAGAAGGTCATAAACGAAATGAAAGAGATGAAAACCATGACACGAGAAATACGTGACAAATGCACAACCTTCAGTAACCAACTCGATCAACTGGAAGAAAGAGTATCAGCGATTGAGGATCAAATGAACGAAATGAAGTGAGAAGAGAAACCAAAAGAAAAAAGAAGAAAAAGAAATGAACAAAGCCTGCAAGAAGTATGGGATTATGTAAAAAGACCAAATCTACGTCTGATTGGGGTGCCTGAAAGTGAGGGGGAAAATGGAACCAAGTTGGAAAACACTCTTCAGGCTATCATCCAGAACTTCCCCAATCTAGTAGGGCAGGCCAACATTCAAATCCAGGAAATACAGAGAACGCAACAAAGATACTCCTCGAGAAGAGCAACTCTAAGACACATAATTGCCAGATTCACCAAAGTTGAAATGAAGGAAAAAATCTTAAGGGCAGCCAGAGAGAAAGGTCGGGTTACCCACAAAGGGAAGCCCATCAGACTAACAGCAGATCTCTCGGCAGAAACTCTTCAAGCCAGAAGAGAGTGGGGGCCAATATTCAACATTCTTAAAGAAAAGAATTTTAAACCCAGAATTTTATATCCAGCCAAACTAAGTTTCATAAGTGAAGGAGAAATAAAATCCTTTACAGATAAGCAAATGCTTAGAGATTTTGTCACCACCAGGCCTGCCTTACAAGAGACCCTGAAGGAAGCACTAAACATGGAAAGGAACAACCGGTACCAGCCATTGCAAAAACACGCCAAAATGTAAAGACCATCAAGGCTAGGAAGAAACTGCATCAACTAATGAGCAAAATAACCAGTTAATATCATAATGGCAGGATCAAGTTCACACATAACAATCTTAACCTTAAATGTAAATGGACTAAATGGTCCAATTAAAAGACACAGACTGGCAAACTGGATAAAGAGTCAAGACCCATCAGTCTGCTGTATTCAGGAGACCCATCTCATACGCAGAGACATACATAGGCTCAAAATAAAGGGATGGAGGAAGATTTACCAAGCAAATGGAGAACAAAAAAAAGCGGGGGTTGCAATACTAGTCTCTGATAAAACAGACTTTAAACCATCAAAGATCAAAAGAGATAAAGAAGGCCATTACATAATGGTAAAGGGATCAATTCAACAGGAAGGGCTAACTATCCTAAATATATATGCACCCAATACAGGAGCACCCAGATTCATAAAGCAAGTCCTTAGAGACTTACAAAGAGACTTAGACTCCCATACAATAATAATGGGAGACTTCAACACTCCACTGTCAACATTAGACAGATCAACGAGACAGAAAGTTAACAAGGATATCCAGGAATTGAACTCATCTCTGCAGCAAGCAGACCTAATAGACATCTATAGAACTCTCCACCCCAAATCAACAGAATATACATTCTTCTCAGCACCACATCGTACTTACTCCAAAATTGACCACGTAATTGGAAGTAAAGCACTCCTCAGCAAATGTACAAGAACAGAAATTGTAACAAACTGTCTCTCAGACCACAGTGCAATCAAACTAGAACTCAGGATTAAGAAACTCAATCAAAACTGCTCAACTACATGGAAACTGAACAACCTGCTCCTGAATGACTACTGGGTACATAACAAAATGAAGGCAGAAATAAAGATGTTCTTTGAAACCGATGAGAACAAAGATACAACATACCAGAATCTCTGGGACACATTTAAAGCAGTGTGTACAGGGAAATTTATAGCACTAAATGCCCACAAGAGAAAGCAGGAAAGATCTAAAATTGACACTCTAACATCGCAATTAAAAGAACTAGAGAAGCAAGAGCAAACACATTCGAAAGCTAGCAGAAGGCAAGAAATAACTAAGATCAGAGCAGAACTGAAGGAGATAGAGACACAAAAAACCCTCCAAAAAATCAATGAATCCAGGAGTTGGTTTTTTGAAAAGATCAACAAAATTGACAGACCACTAGCAAGACTAATAAAGAAGAAAAGAGAGAAGAATCAAATTGACGCAATTAAAAATGATAAAGGGGATATCACCACCGACCCCACAGAAATACAAACTACCATCAGAGAATACTATAAACATCTCTACGCAAATAAACTGGAAAATCTAGAAGAAATGGATAATTTCCTGGACACTTACACTCTTCCAAGACTAAACCAGGAAGAAGTTGAATCCCTGAATAGACCAATAGTAGGCTCTGAAATTGAGGCAATAATTAATAGCCTACCAACCAAAAAAAGTCCAGGACCAGATGGATTCACAGCTGAATTCTACCAGAGGTACAAGGAGGAGCTGGTACCATTCCTTCTGAAACTATTCCAATCAATAGAAAAAGAGGGAATCCTCCCTAACTCATTTTATGAGGCCAACATCATCCTGATACCAAAGCCTGGCAGAGACACAACAAAAAAAGAGAATTTTAGACCAATATCCCTGATGAACATCGATGCAAAAATCCTCAATAAAATACTGGCAAACCGGATTCAGCAGCACATCAAAAAGCTTATCCACCATGATCAAGTGGGCTTCATCCCTGGGATGCAAGGCTGGTTCAACATTCGCAAATCAATAACATAATCCAGCATATAAACAGAACCAAAGACAAGAACCACATCATTATCTCAATAGATGCAGAAAAGGCTTTTGACAAAATTCAACAGCCCTTCATGCTAAAAACGCTCAATAAATTCGGTATTGATGGAACGTACCTCAAAATCATAAGAGCTATTTATGACAAACCCACAGCCAATATCATACTGAATGGGCAAAAACTGGAAAAATTCCCTTTGAAAACTGGCACAAGACAGGGATGCCCTCTCTCACCACTCCTATTCAACATAGTGTTGGAAGTTCTGGCTAGGGCAATCAGGCAAGAGAAAGAAATCAAGGGGATTCAGTTAGGAAAAGAAGAAGTCAAATTGTCCCTGTTTGCAGACGACATGATTGTATATTTAGAAAACCCCATTGTCTCAGCCCAAAATCTCCTTAAGCTGATCAGCAACTTCAGCAAAGTCTCAGGATACAAAATTAATGTGCAAAAATCACAAGCATTCTTATACACCAGTAACAGACAAACAGAGAGCCAAATCAGGAATGAACTTCCATTCACAATTGCTTCAAAGAGAATAAAATACCTAGGAATCCAATTTACAAGGGATGTAAAGGACCTCTTCAAGGAGAACTACAAACCACTGCTCAGTGAAATCAAAGAGGACACAAACAAATGGAAGAACATACCATGCTCATGGATAGGAAGAATCAATATCGTGAAAATGGCCATACTGCCCAAGGTAATTTATAGATTCAATGCCATCCCTATCAAGCTACCAATGAGCTTCTTCACAGAATTGGAAAAAACTGCTTTAAAGTTCATATGGAACCAAAAAAGAGCCCGCATCTCCAAGACAATCCTAAGTCAAAAGAACAAAGCTGGAGGCATCACGCTACCTGACTTCAAACTATACTACAAGGCTACAGTAACCAAAACAGCATGGTACTGGTACCAAAACAGAGATATAGACCAATGGAACAGAACAGAGTCCTCAGAAATAATACCACATATCTACAGCCATCTGATCTTTGACAAACCTGAGAGAAACAAGAAATGGGGAAAGGATTCCCTATTTAATAAATGGTGCTGGGAAAATTGGCTAGCCATAAGTAGAAAACTGAAACTGGATCCTTTCCTTACTCCTTATACGAAAATTAATTCAAGATGGATTAGAGACTTAAATGTTAGACCTAATACCATAAAAATCCTAGAGGAAAACCTAGGGAATACCATTCAGGACATAGGCATGGACAAAGACTTCATGTCTAAAACACCAAAAGCAACAGCAGCAAAAGCCAAAATTGACAAATGGGATCTCATTAAACTAAAGAGCTTCTGCACAGCAAAAGAAACTACCATCAAAGTGAACAGGCAACCTACAGAATGGGAGAAAATTTTTGCAATCTACTCATCTGACAAAGGGCTAATATCCAGAACCTACAAAGAACTCAAACAAATTTACCAAAAAAACCAAACAACCCCATCAAAAAGTGGGCAAGGATATGAACAGACATTTCTCAAAAGAAGACATGCATACAGCCAACAGACACATGAAAAAATGCTCATCATCACTGGCCATCAGAGAAATGCAAATCAAAACCACAATGAGATACCATCTCACACCAGTTAGAATGGCGATCATTCAAAAGTCAGGAAACAACAGGTGCTGGAGAGGATGTGGAGAAATAGGAACACTTTTACACTGTTGGTGGGATTGTAAACTAGTTCAACCATTATAGAAAACAGTATGGCGATTCCTCAAGGATCTAGAACTAGATGTACCATATGACCCAGCCATCCCATTACTGGGTATATACCCAAAGGATTATAAATTGTGCTGCTATAAAGACACATGCACACGTATGTTTATTGCAGCACTATTCACAATAGCAAAGACTTGGAATCAACCCAAATGTCCATCAGTGACAGATTGGATTAAGAAAATGTGGCACATATACACCATGGAATACTATGCAGCCATAAAAAAGGATGAGTTTGTGTCCTTTGTAGGGACATGGATGCAGCTGGAAACCATCATTCTTAGCAAACTATCACAAGAACAGAAAACCAAACACCGCATGTTCTCACTCATAGGTGGGAACTGAACAATGAGATCACTTGGACTTGGGAAGGGGAACATCACACACTGGGGCCTATCATGGGGAGGGGGGAGCGGGGAGGGATTGCATTGGGAGTTATACCTGATGTAAATGATGAGTTGATGGGTGCAGCACACCAACATGGCACAAGTATACATATGTAACAAACCTTTACGTTATGCACATGTACCCTACAACTTAAAGTATAATAATAATAAATAAATTTAAAAAAAAAATAAAATAAAAATAAAAATAAAAAAACAAAGTGAAGTGACTCATATCTGCCTCCTTCTCCCAGAGGATCAATACAGCCCTAGAAGTCTGCAGTGGATTGGGGATGGTTGCCCCTCTGGGGTTAGAATGAGCAGAGGAGGAAGAAGGAAACTGTCATGAAAGTAGTTCTGGGTATTTGGTGGGCAGAGGAAAGTCTTTGTTAGTGTTTGTACTTGGGAGAGTACTTTTTCTGTGTGGGTTTGGAAGAATCCAACAGAGGAAACAGTCAAGAGATCAAGCAAATCAAGAAGATTGGCTTGGAATGCAGTGTGAATAGGTTGTAAGTTGGATTATACTGCCCACAGTTTAATACTTTTCTTTGCTACTCCTACCCAACAGCTAATTGTCCAACGATGCATCAAGAGCATAAGGTGAGTCACATTTCTTGGCTTTCTTTCCTCTCTGGCCTTCCTCTCCTGTATTTAGGTACTTACATTTTGTGGTTTTTTTCCACCAGGAACTCACAGTCCTCTATTCAGAACTGAAGAAGAAATACCCAGATGACTCTGCAGGGGAGGCTCGTAGCAGAGGCAGGGCCCATGAAGATGATGAAGAAAATTATGAGAATATACCACGTGTATTACTGGCCTCAGACCACTAGCCCCTTACCCAGAGTGGCCCACAGGAAACAGCCTGCACCATTTTTTTTTCTGTTCTCTCCAACCACACATCATCCATCTCTCTAGACTGCCTCCTACGAGGCTGGGCTGCAGGGGATGTGAGGCTGCGCAAAAGATCTGCTAATCTCCTCTGTGCCTGAGTCTGTGTGTTCCCTAGGAAAAGAATGGGCAGCCTCTGAGCAAGCACTGTGTTATTTTCACAGTGGAGACACATGGCAAGGCAGGAAGCCCTCAGCTCCTAGGGCTGTCGAATAGAGGAGGAGAGAGAAATGGTCTGGCCAGGGTTACAAAGGCACAATCATGACCATTTGATCTAAGTGTGATTGAAAGCTGTTAATGTTCTCTCTGTATAAACAATTTGCTCCAAATATTGTTTCCTTTTTTGTGTGTGTGACTGGTAGTGGCATTGCTGATGTTTTGGTATATATACTGTATCCTTGCTACCATATTGGGAACAGCCATAAGAAGTTATAGAACAAGATTTTAAGGTGACTCTATCTGAAGTGTATTTTTGTACTTACAGGGTGACATTCTCAACCAAATTACCCTTAGTTATGATGAAAAATAACCTCAGCATTTCATTAAAGGCTCTGCTAGTTTAATATGTGACCTCTATCCCTACTACAAAGACCTTATGTGTAAAAAATCACATTAATTGTAATTTTTGCTTCATGACATAGTCTCATCATTTTCCATACATGATAGATTTCTAGTCAGTCAATTTTATTCTTATAAGTACTCATTAACCCCGAGACAATAACCTACTATATCTATGTGGCTTCTCCCATTCTCTTCCTCTACCTCACTCCATCTGCTAAAAAACCATTCTAAATCTCATGTTCATTATTCCCATGCTTTCCTAATTCTATCGTATTAATGTAACTATATGTTTTCCTTAATATGTTTTTATATTAGTTTTAACTATAAGTTAAAGACCATATTGTTGTAGATAATATTTTTGGTATTTTCTCTTCATGTTCTATTTCTAAGATTCATCCATATTGTTGCATGTTGCTATAGTTCATTTGTTTTTATTGCTGTTTAGTATTTACTTGTGTAAAATATCTGTTTTAATGTTTTCCTAGCTATCACTATCAAAAACTCTTTCCACAGTGTCTTGAATTTTTAATGTGACAAAAATGAAAATGTACCAACAATTTTTAGTGACTTCACCTCCATTCTGAAATCCTGATGTTTCCAAATATCTCTGAACACCTCAAGTCCTAGGGACAACTGAGATTATATTAACATTAATCTCTGAATGTTGTTAATTCTAAGCCTTGACTTGGTTCATGTAGGAACACCAAGTCCTTTCAAAGCACCACATCTTTCTCTAATCAATATTCCTTGGAGTCCCTAAGGAATGTCTTACAAGCATTCAACCAGTCACCATTTCTGGAGATACACTACAGGGTCACTGTAAACTTTGCTACCCTTGGATTCCATCACTATAGAAGCTGAGTTTCACCAGAAGGCACTTTTGTCCTCCATTACTACCAGCAAAGCCAGCTAAGCCACAGCTGCTGGCCTCAAAAAATGTGATGATCAATCCACACTGCTCCCACTGGCCTCTCTTACCCTTATCCTGGCCTTTGAGAGCAGGGCACGATATCCTGCCTATACTGAGATGCTGATCTCTGCCAGTTCGTGTTCATATTGGCATTAAAATTTTAAGTTCCCTTGAAGAGGGAGGAGGCAAATGTCTCTGTCTTCTATGTGATACACTCTGCTGTTTTTTTCTCTATGGTAAAAATATATAAACAGGTTTGTGTACTAACCACCAGACTGTACATGGAGGCTCTCCTCCTCTCACAGCTTGCTGCTGATTTGGAATTACCTTGCCAGGTCCCTTTGGGCCTTATAGTGAACTTTCTCTAAGGGACCTCTCATCTTTTATCATTGTTTATCCATTTTCTAGATTCTGAACCCAGGAAAAGACAAAGTTCAAGATTTTCCATGTCTTTGTAACACTTAACCCTGTTCAAATCAGAGTATGTGAGTGGAAAGAGGAGTGAGTCCTAACTGTACATTTCAGATATAACAAAAGTGCAAATTCTGATTGCCCTGTAAAATGAATTATTCTCATGTATTGCTCTACTTGACTTTTCCCTTTGAATTCACAACTAAAAACCCATAGCCCAGAAATCTAAAAAACAGTAATTTTAATGGAGCCTTTGAAAATAAAAGACCATTGGAAAAAGTACCAGTTTCCAGTGTCTTTCTCACACTTACCCTTTTAGTATATCTTTACATCAGAGCCTATTCTCACTCATAGATTACCAAAGACAAAGCCACATGAGAAGCTTAGGTTTTGTCACTAAAGTATATTAAAAAGGTTATTTTAATTTTATCAAGATCAGATTTGGGTGGGGACACAGAGTGAAACCATATCATTCTGCCCCTGACCTCTTCCAAATACCATGTTTTCACATTTCAAAATACAATCATGCCTTCCCCATAGTCCCTTAAAGTCTTAACTCATTTCAGCCTTAACACAAAAAGCCAAGTCCAAAGTCTCATCTGAGACAAGGCAAGTCCCTTCCAACTAGGAGCCTGTGAAATTAAAAGCAATCAGTTACTTCCAAGATACAATGGGGGTACAGGTATTGGATAAATGCTTCAATTTTAAATGGGAGAAATTGGCCAAAACAAAGGGGCTACAGGTCCCATGCAGGTCCAAAATTCAATGGGACAGTCATTACATCTTAAAGCTCCAACATAATCTCCTTTGACTCCATGTCACATATCCAGGGCACACTGATGCAAAGAGTGGGCTTCCATGGCCTTGGGCAGCTCTGTTCCTGTGACTTTGCAGGGTACAGCCCCCACCCTAGCTGCTTTCATGGTTGTCATTGAGCGTCTGCAGCTTTTCCAGGTGCACAACGCAAGCTGTCAGTGAACCTACAATTCTGGGGTCTAGAGGATGCTGGGCTCTTCTCACAGCTCTACTAGGCAGTGCCCCAGTAGGGATTCTGTGTGGGGGCTCCAACCCCACATTTCCTTTCTGCACTGCACTAGCAGAGCTTCTCCATGAGTACTTCATCCCTGCAGCAGACATCTGCCTGGACATCCAGGAGTTTCCATACATCCTCCGAAATCTAGGCAGAGATTCCCAAATCTCAATTCTTAAGTTCTGTGTACCTGCAGGCCCAAGACCACATGGAAGCCACTAAGGGTTGGTGCTTTCACCCTTTGAAGCAATGGCCTAAACTCTATGTTGGCCCCTTTAGCCATAGCTGGGATGCAGGACACCAAGTGCTGAGACTGCACAAAGCAGCAAGGCCCTGGGTCTGGCCTGTGAAACCACGTTTTTGTCATAGGCCTACCAGCCTGTGATGAGAGGGGCTTCTCTGAAGACCTCTGACAGCCCTGGAGACATTTTCCCCATTGTCTTGGCAATTAACATTTGGATCCTCATTACTTATGCAAATTTCTGCCTCTGACTTGAATTTCTCCCCAAAACAGTAAGTTTTTCTTTTTTATCCTATGGTCAGAAGGCAAATTTTCCAAACTTTTATGCTCTGTCACCTGTTGAACACTTTGCTTCTTACAGATTTCTTCCAGCACATACCCTAAATCATCTCTCTCAAGTTTAAAGTTCCCAAGATCTGTAGGGCAGGGGCAAAATACCACTAGCCTTTTTGCTAAAGCAGAGAAAGAGTGACCTTTACTCCAGTACCCAATAAGTTCCTCATCTGCATCTCAGACCACCTCAGCCTGGACTTCATTGTCCACATCACTAACAGCATTTTTGTCAAAATCATTCAACAAGCCTCTAGAAAATTCCAAACTTTCCCACATCTTCTTGTCTTCTTGTGAGTCCTTCAAACTGTTCCAATCTCTGCCCATTACCCAGTTCCAAAGTCGCTTCCACATTTTTGGGTGTTTTTATAGCAGTGCCCCACTCCTGGTACCAACTTAATATATTAGTCCATTTTCACACTGCTATAAAGACATACCCAAGACTGGGTAATTTATTTAAAAAAGAGGTTTACTTGATTCACAGCTCCACATGACTGGGAAGGCCTCAGGAAACTTACAATCATGGAAGAAGGTGTAAGAAAAGCAAAGACCTTCTTCACATTGGCAGCCATAAGAAAGAATGAAATCCTGTCATTTGTAGCAACATGGATGGAAGTGGAGGTCATCATATCAAGTTAAATAAGCCAGGCACAGAAAGACAGTTATTGCATGTTCTCACTCATACATGGGAGCCAAAAAAGTGGATTTCATGAAGAGAGAGAGTAGAATGATAGTTACCAGAGGCTGGGAAGGGAAAGGGAGAGAGAGGTGTGAAGAGAAGTTGGTTAATGTGTACAAAAATGCAGTTAGCTAGAAAGAATAAATTCTAGTATTCAATAGCAAAGTAGGGAAATTTTAGTGAAAATAAATAATAAATTATATATTTAAAAATAAAATAATATATTGAACATTTTAAAACATCCAGAAGAAATATAATGTTTCCAATATAAAGCAAGATAAACGTTTGAGATGATGGATATCCCAATCACACGTCTTTGATTATTACACAGTGTATACATGTATCAAATATTACACATACCCCCAAAATGTACAACTATGATGTATTAATTTAAAACATACAAAAATATTCCTTTCTGTGTTTCCTAGAAATATTATACTTTTACTTTTACACTTAAATCTATAATCCACTTAGAGTGATTTTTTTCATGTTGTGTATAGTGAGAAAAAAAAATATTGATTTGTTTTTCTTATAAGTACCCAGGTGGTCCAACACTATTTGCTGAATAAACTTTATTTTGTCTCTTGTTAATTTGGGTTGTCTTCTTAGTATGTGGTTGCAGGAGTTATTTTTGGTGATGGTCAGTCTGGTCAACCACAAGGGGGACACAGAAGAGGCAAAGGGAAAAACAAGTTTCTTATACTCAAGGTCCTAGAGGGACAGAGTCACTGCATGCTGAGAGGGAGTGATGTGGAAAAGAGCACCAAGGAAAAAGGCTCAGCCAAGCAAGTGGGGAGCAGGGAGCAGGCGAACACCAGAGGGTAAGTGCCTTTATTGGAACTCAGGTTGAGACACACAAGAAAAGGGATACACAAGAAAAATTTTACTGGTGTGTTGAAATGTTACTAGGTTATGGTCAGGAGAGGTTGGGAAAGGAAACTTGTGGTAGGGACCAATCTTACCACACTGTTGCACCTGGTTGTCTGGGCAGGATGCTCTCAGCCTGTTTGTGGGTTGTTGAGGAAGCAAGAAAATACGAAGTTTTAAAATTTACAGTACAATATAACTTTGTCAGATAAATGCCTACCAAGTATTTTCTCCCATTTTGTGACTTGCCTTTACATTTTCTTAACCATAATTTGTAAGTTCAAATTTTTTCATATGATGGAATTTATCATTTTTTCTTGTAGTTCATGCCTTATGTGTCCTGTTTAGAACTATTTCTCTGACCAAATGTCATAAAGATTATCTTCTACATTTTATTCTAGAAATGTAATATTTTTAGCTCTTGTGTTTAGCTATGTAAGGCTTCCTAAGTAAATTTTTATCACAGCATGAGGTCAGGGTTGATGTCAATTTTTTCCCACACAAATATCCAATGATCTTAGCACCCTGTTTTGAAGATTATCTGTTTTTTGTTTTTCCTTTGACTTACCTTTTCATTGTTGTAAACAACCAATTGCCTATATAAATGTGAGTCTACTTCTGTACTATTCTGTTCCATTTATGCTAAAGCAGGGAATCCACTCAGAGATGTTTCTTTCCCAGGCTGGAGTGCAATGGCGTAATCTTGGCTCACTGCAACCTCCGCCTCCTGGGTTCAAGCGATTCTCCAGCCTCAGCCTCCCAAGTAGCTGGTATTACAGGTGTCTGCCACCCCGCCTGGCTAATTTTTGCATTTTTAATAGAGATGGGATTTCACCATGTTGGCTAGGCTGGTCTCAAACTCCTGACTGCCAGTGATCCACCAGCCTTGGCCTCCCAAAGTGCTGGGATTACAGGCATGAGCCACTGCTCCCGGCCTATTTGTAGTTTTTTGAAAAACCTTCATACTCTTTTCAATAGTGGCTATACTAATTTATATTCTCACCAATAGTTCCTTTTTCTTTGCATCCTCACCAGCATTTGTTATTTTTTGTCCTTTTCATAGTAGCCATTTTAATTGGTGTGACATGATATGTCATTGTGGTTTTGGCTTGCATTTCTCTTAATGATGTTGAGAATTTTTTCATATGCTAGTTTGGTCATGTGCATTGTTTCATATGCTAGTTTGGTCATGTGCATTCTCTTTTGAGAAATGTGTATTCAGATTTTTCTCCGTTTTTAAATCAGATTGTTTTTGTTTGTTTGGTTTTTGCTGTTGAGTTGTTTGAGTTTCTTATTTATCCTGTATATTAATCATTTGACAGACGAATAGTTTGTCTCTTTATTCTGTTGAGTGCTTCCTTTGCAGTGCAGAAGCTTTTTGGTTTTATGAAATCCCATTTGTCTATTTTTGCTTTTGTGGCCTGTGCTTTTAATGCCTCATTCATAAAATTTTTGCCTGGACAAACGTCCTGAAGTATTTTCCCTTTGTTTTTTTCCCAGTAGTTTTAGTTTCAGGTCTTACATTTAAGTCTTTAATCATTTTGAGTTGTTTTTTGTATATGGTGAGAGATAGGTGTCTAGTTTCATTCTTCTGCGTGTAAGCATTAAAAGCTATCAGTTTTCCTCCTAATGCTCATTTAGCTGTGTCTCACAAATATTGTCCTCCTTGATATGGTTAGATTTAGGCCTTCCATCTTATTATTTGTTTCTTGTTTTCCTCTGATTTTTTTTTCTTTTCCCTTCCAGCATTCTTTTAGATTGCTTGCACATATTTTAGTATTTCATTTCGTACCAAATGATTTCTAATACTCATTTTTTCTTCAACACATTGCTGTTTTAAAATATGTTGTTAATTCTCAAGTATTTGAGATTTTCCTAAATATCTTATTGATACTGACTTGTAATTTAATTACTTTGTGGTTGGAGAACATAATATTATTTCAATCCTTTCAGATTTATCAACACTTGTTTTGTGGCCTGGCATATGTTCTCTCTTGGTGACATACCATGTGCACTTGAAAATAATGTATATTCTACAATTTCAGAATAGTGTGTTCTATAAATGTCAATTAATTAAGGCAAGAAAGTTGAGAGTGTTGTTCAAATTTTTTGTGTTTTTATCTCATTTTACCA